GCATTGCACCTACAGCCACTGCTTTATCTCCTACCCCGGGATGGAAGGAAAATCACAGAACCACCAGTTTTAGATGCTATTCCTGGATTGCTAACAACTATTGCACCATGAGATTTGTTTCAGCTAAACCTTGGTGTAGTTATTCCGACGAAGAACATGGGCAAAGGATTGGAGGGCATCGGGGTTGGGGGGAGGGAGGGGGGAGATATTCCTGGACACAATGCATTTGCGATAAAGAAGAAATCAGGCAGTGCTGCGGAGACACATAGGAATAATTATGCCGGAGAAATGTTCCTAAGTGACTAACAAGGCAGTGAGTTCAGTCGTTGTTGGGTAGCTTAGTGGTTAGACAACCGGATCCCTAAACATGAGATTGTTATAGACAGTGAAAGATCTTGTCAATTTGTTAGTGTTTAAGCGTTTAACCAGCTGCTTGCACTGTATACTTCCCGGGAAGCTGAGAGTGTTCCTGACTGTTCTATGGTCTGCTGGGGTAATAATATTATAGTGCAAAGCGCAAAGAGCTTGCTTTCGAGTGAGGATATGCGCTATACAAATGCTTTTTTTCTTTTTTTTTGTTGATTCCGGGTTCGAGCCTCAGCTGGGTCCAAACTTGTGTCCTTGGGAAAGTCACTTTGCACGAATTTCCCATTTTGATCGGTCCTTTCGGAGATGGACGTTAAATTCAGAAGACTCGCCTCTTAGATATCCCAATAATGTTGATAGGGGTTTAACCTATACCATTTTCAGCCACTGTTGGTGAGCTACGGAAAGTGCTAGGTAGGTCACCGAGGTAAAATAGAGGTCCCACCTTTACTTTTACTTTTTTTAAAGCTACAACAGCAACAACAAAAACAACAGTAACAACAAAACCACCACCACCACCACCACCAACAACAACAACAACTGCTGCAGTAAGAACACAACAACAGCAGCAGCGACCACAATAACATCGTGTTATACAGAAAAGAGGTCAATGCGTTGGAACCCAAAATAGAACTCCAGAGGGCGGCGATCTTCCAATATTTTGGTTGGTTATTGCATTAAGCGTGCTGGGTTGGTTTGCTTTTTTTGTTGTTGTTATCGTTGGGTGGGAGGGGGTTGATCGGTTGGTTTGTTTTTGTTGGTGTCGGGGCTTTTTTGTTGTTGTTTTTTGTGTGTGGTTGTTGTTGTTGTTGTTTTTTTTGGGGGGGGGTTCTTTTGTGGGTTTAAAAAAAGCAACTATTTTTGCTTCGTTTCGTTTTGTTTCATTTCTAGTAAATAAAAAAGCGATAAGAAATCGAAACGGTGAAGAAACTTCAGAAAAGCTAGAGATACAGTATGAAGGATATGTCATTTTTAAGGGGGGGGGGGGTCTCTTTTTATATGAGTTAGGATGTAGGTGGAAATGTGCGGGAAAGAGGGGCATGATTTAAACATAAATATTGTGAGGTAAGGAGGAGCGGGGGAAGGGTGCTATTGTGTCTCGCACGAAACGCTTTAGGGCACAAGAAAGCTGTAATCGTTAGTCGTCTGGTAACTCCAAATTTGATTCCGCGAGCTTCTCCAAGCGAGATTAGAAGTGATTTTACCACTCTCTTCCTCCCTTCCCTCTCCATTTCCTGGTTCAACTGGATTCCCCTTTTGCCCTAGACGTAATATTTTCTTGGCTCACGGAATATTAACAAAAACTTCGTAACCTTTTTGCACTTGTACCAAGTGTATAAAACCATGCACACTCACACATATGCGTCCGTTTGTTTGCAAACACCCCCACATTCTCTTTCTGTTTCTTATTTTTTCACCCTCTTCTCGCTCTCTCTCTCTCTCTCTCTCTCTCTCTCTC